CTGGCGCCGCACGGCGCCCCAGCCCTCCTTGGAGTTGCCCAACCGCTTCTTCTGGTGGCAGAGGAGCCGCGAGATCAAATCTCTCAAATTCTTCGAGAACGCGCGCGGGAACTTGGGCCGCATCTTCAGGATCAGCTCGAAGAGCGCCATCTCGTCCTGGGCCACGAAGGGCCCCTGGCCGTGGGCGAGCTCGAAGGTCAGCACCCCCAGCATCCAGAAGTCGACGCCGTGGTTGTGGCCCTCGTTGCGCAGGATCTCCGGCGCGAGGTACTCGGGCGTGCCGCACATGGTCCACCTGCGTGGAAACCAAATCTTCAACCCGACTTCAATGTGAGCGTATGCGACCGTTTCGACGCAAGCTCTTCGGCTGTGCTTCGAGAACTCGACGAGAGCGATCGATTCGTCCAAAAATCAGCCGAATCGACTTCGATGTGACCGAGCTAGAGAATTCTCAAGTTTGGTCGGGACGTCCCAGACCAGCGGTTGAATTCCACACAGTGGTCCACGTCTTCCAGCCGCTCAGCACCTTGCTCAGCCCAAAGTCGACGACCTTGATGTAGCCCGTGGCGTCGAGCACCAGGTTCTCCGGCTTGAGGTCGCGGTAGAGCACGTCCTTGCCGTGGAGGCAGTCGAACGCGAAGACGATCTGCGACACGAAGAACCGCAGCATGGGCTCCGGGAAGCAGACCATCTGCTGCAGGTGCTTGTAGAGCTCGCCGCCGGGCATGAGCTCGAGCACGAGGTAGACGCAGCGGTCCGTCTGCATCGTGCTGTAGAGCTTCAACACGAAGGGGTTGTCGCACATGGCGAGGATCTTGCACTCGATCGTCACGTACGCCTCCATGGCCTCGTCGACGATTTTGGCCTTCGCCTGGCACTTGCAGGCGAAGGTCGCGCCCGTGTCCGCGTGGCGCACGAGGCGCACGATGCCGAAGGACCCGCGGCCGAGCGTGCCCAGCACCGTGAGGTCTTCCAAGCGCATCTCGTCCGGGTCGGGCCTGTGTGGAAATCAACCACTGGTTTGGGACGTCCCGACCAAACTTTGAAATTCTCTAGCTCGGTCAAATCGAAGTCGATTCGGCTGATTTTTGGACGAATCGATTGCTCTCATCGAGTTCTCGAAGCACAGCCGAAGAGTCCGGCGCAATCCGTTCAATCACGCTCACATTGAAGTCGGGTTGAAGATTTGATTTCCACACAGGGTCCGGCCCCGCGTCGTCTTCGATCTGGATGGCCCGC